TGCCTAATCTCTCTAAATCTAGTTTCTTTTTCACTAAAACAGGGTTTATGGTGTCTACCATTGAAACACTGTGAGAATTAACAAGATAGTTCCAATACGGTGCTTAGCATAGTACCTGGCATTTATAAGCCTACATTTTTAAATGATCATGATCATCATCGTCATCATCATTCCCTGCTCTCGAGGGAATGAAGTCTAGCTAGAGGGTAGAGATACATTCACCTGTAAAAAATAATTCACAGTTCATGGAAGTGGGGAAGCATCAAAAGATCAATACAGCAAAGGCTTTATCTCACTCTGCCTTAAGACATGCTTATATCTAAACAATCTTGCCAAGACAAGGAGGGCAATAAAGATACTACAAAGGTAATTTATTTCTAAATTGGAACGCTGGGAGAAAAAAAAAACTTGTTAAAAATGTAAATTATTTATTAAATCAATCAGTTGGAATGCTGGAATATTTGTAGATTTTTAGTTGGGTCTACTTGAGCTTCTTATTATAATGGTACAAAGTCAATCCATATTTATGGTCAATTTTAAAAGATAATAATCTGATTTGCTCCAGAACCTTTTGTTCAGCAACATGAGCCAATGTAAAGCATGAATCTTATGGCCTTGGAGTCAAGACTACCTATGCTTAAAGTCCAACTGTGCCACTAACTGTACACAGGTGACCTTGGCAATCTCTTTTAGCCTCAGTTGCCTTATTTTTAAATTGGAAATGTCTCTCTTGTAGAGTTTGCATGGAGAGTAAAACAGATTGTTTACATAAACAGATATCATGGGTGCTCATTAAATGATATCAGCTATTCCTGCATTTCCTCTTAAGATGGAACTGTCCTCTGAAAGCCAGATGCCTTGTGATGTGTGTAGTGGGCCCCCTGACAGGGCTGTGATTGGGGCTGGTACTGCAATCACATGCATAGTCCAGCTTAGCTTAGGGCTGCCTTCAGAGAGGTCAAGATGGTGAGATTCCTGAGGTTTAATTTCCCAGATATGAAAAAGTAACACTGGAAAGGGCCGAGCAAGGTTCTGAGGAAGGCTAGCCTGGAGCAGGCACCACTTGAGCAAGGCCTCTAGCCTTCTGTAGAAGAGAAGCACAGTCACCAACAGCAGCAACAGTGCCGGGACTGCGGCCTTGGCCGGCAAGCAGATGCACCAGCCAAGCCTCACAGGCTGTGTGACCACGTCCAGGGGAAATGCAGTGGTCCCTGCACACAACTGCTCTCTCGTTTCTCCTCTCAGCACTTTACTGGGGTGCCAATAAAAAGAAGAATGTTCATTTTTGACAGGCTTTATCTAGTGAAGAGGTACTGGTCCTCAGTGCCACGTTCCATAACACACAACCCAACTAACAAAATATAAAACTCAAAACCTTGATGTTGAACACTTTCAATTATATTCCCTCATGTTCCCCTCCCGGTTCCATTTTCTTTCTCTCTCTCCAGAAGCAACCCCTATCATTTATCTGGTACACATTTTCCAGTTTATATCCTAACAATTTTAGGATGTGTGTGTGTCCATGAGCAACATATAGCATTACTTGGAGAGGTTTTTTTAAAATAACATTCAACTACTATGAGGTACATGTCCTTCTGCAATTTTTCACTCTTTGTTTTTTAAATGTATCCATCTTTATACATGGTCATTTTTGTAACATGCTCTATTGTATCCCTTCACATGCACAGTCTATAAACTGTTCCCAATATGCTGTCATTATAAACGGCACTGCCATGAACATTCTTAGACGTGTCTCCTCGAGTTCATATGGGAATCTGTTCAAGGTATAGTTGGAAGTAGAATCGCTAGTTGTCATATACATATATTTTCAACTTAACTAGTCACTGCCAACCTCACACTCCGGGCGAAACACTACCAATAGCTCAATACATATCCTTGAGACTTTACACACCTGTACACACATATATACATATATGTGTATATATATATTCTGTAAAATCACACACATGATTTTACAGAATATGAATTTACATAAATCTATCTTATGCTTTATGATGGGTTGCAGAGGACTGTTTTCTGCATTAATTGACCAGTGCCCAACTGATGGACATTAAAAGGTTTTTCCCTCATTACAGTAAGTCAAGGAACTTTGTGCATAAATACACTGATACACTAGCTCCAGGACATGTGTAGAACGTACTAGGACTGCTGGATCCACCTCTTATTTTTACAAAGGAGAAAAGGCTGAGTCCCAGAGAACTGGGATGAGGAGCTGGCCCACAGACCCCCCAGCAAATGAGGAATGAAAGGGCTGGGGACCCCATTTCCTACAGTCTGGTCTCTAGTACTCTAGGGGGCACCCGCTCTGCTTAAGAAAATAAAACATCCCAATACACAGTATTCCTTTCACACACTGTCTCCGTTTACACTGTAGAATCTGAGGTTATAAAGAGGTACTCTGGGTATCACAAAAGTCATGTAAAATCTCCCTGCTTCTGTGTGGAAAGAAGGTCAGGCAGACAAGTCTTGCACCAGACCCTCCCACCCCAAGAAGCCTACAGGAGTCAGCCTCTGGCTCCTGTCCTCAGTCCAGGCAACTCAAATGCATTAGAAGCCAAAATCATGCCTGCTGCTCCACTGTGGGTAGAGGTGGGACAAAGCCAGGCCCCAAGGCCTGAGGTCAGGGAAAGAGACTCAATGACAACACAA